CTTACAGTCTTTATAGTGTTTCTGCATTGAATCTTGAACCACTTCTACGGTCGGCTCTCTCAGGTGCATATTGCTCTCCTGAGATGGCATTGGGATTGCCGGTCACATACAGTACAAATCCTACTTACATGTTGCACCACAAGTAGCTTCTTGTTGCAACTGCCGTGGTCTACATCTAGAGGCAGCGATGTTTGGAGCTTGGCCGTTGTCATTGCCGAGCTGTACTCCAGACGTGCGGGACGCCAGCTGTGTCTGCCTGGTGCAGGCGCGCGTGACTGGCCACTTGATACAATGTGTAAGGTCCCTCAAGCTTGGTGTTGTGCTGCGACCGAGAAGCCGTACAGGCAGTGTTACACCGTTAGCCACTGTTTGCACTGGCTGGCGGGTTGGGGCTGTCCTCTCTTCTGGAGTGGTTTTTGGTGCCCTGTGAGGTATCGATAGCACAGGCACTGGGATTATGCAACATGCCCGAAGGAATCCCGTCCTCCTTCCTACGGCGACCTGGTTGCAGCTCAGGGAAATGCCGTGGATGTCTTCTGGCAGTCACCAAGTTCCAGTTGCAAAAAAGCTCGCAATTTATGCAGACAGTGCCCGGTCTGCGGCAAGCAACAGGTGCAGGGAGAATCTCAAGCAAAGATGGGAAGCATGCAATGGCTTGGCATCTCAATAATTTTCAATATGCTCTAAAAACCATGGTAATTGACTATTTCTGTAGCGTTTTTGGGAAGTGGCAGTGAGGGGCAACAGTCGGATAGTTTTTTTTATGTTTTTGTGTGGTCTTGGAGTTCTTTACTTGGTTGATCTTGCAAGTTTCAGTGCCAGCTTGTACCGGCCCCTTCCCTGCTGACCAGCAGATTCAATTGCTTGTGGAGTCTTGTGGAATGGGCAGCTGACCTAACCTGCTCGAACTTGCTAAGGAAGAGTCCTTTGACGTTGAACAGGACTGACAATGACATGTGTTGTCCTCACGGTGTGGCGACTCTGACTTCGCTTGACTTGGACAAGTTATGTAAGTTTACTCTGCCTCACCCAATGCCTCCGTCAAAGCGTTGCCTTCAGGAATTTCACTCCAGCTTTCACGACGGTTCGTGGGCATTTGCCTCTTCGACAAAACCAGAATGCTGACATGGAAGCGCTACGGCCTGTTCAGTTGCGCGCTCAGTAGAACCAGAATACGAACAATGAGAAAACCTTGACATGCAGGCAAACGCGCTGCAACTGTACGTTCGCAGGTTTGGGCTTGGCCATGTTTTCGGTCAATCCCTCAGCCGCTTCAAACTTTGTTGAAGGTATGGCAGAACACCGTTAACTGTTAACCGTGTGCGGCTGTGAGTCTGTGAAAGACACAGGAGCCAAGAATGATGACGAGGCGAACTTGCTTCGAGATTTCCTTGAGGTGGTCGATAGCTCCTGCACAACAGCGCAGCTCGGTGCGAGAGTTGGCGTCATTCGCGTTCCCGATGCGTAGGTTTGCCTCGTCTGGGACGGACTCCAGCGACCGACTGCAAAGAAGCTGTTGACTCGAACCCTGCCTGAAGTTCGGCCGGGCGTCGAAAGGGGCTCCAACAGGAGAAATGACAGCTTCAGGTTCCGGTTTCCTCGGGCGAGGCACTGCGGCGAAGGCGCCGCTTCAGGGAGTCGCTGAGCAGCTGTCCGTTGTCCGTGTTGCAACGCTTTGGATGTGCCTGGAGTCTGGAGGCTTCCAGCGTCAAGAGGGCAGCCAAGCCACCATAAGCCACCGTGGGCCCTGTGACAAGAGCTCGGGCTGATGGTGGCAGCGCTGGCCGATTCTGTACAGCGAATTAGGGTGATGTGAAGACTGTGAAGATGTGCATGGGCTCGCTTGGGTTTACACGTGGCTGCACCCCATGAGAACAAAGCCTTCAATCTCGCAACCTCTAATTCCTTCAACCTTGCGACTCAGCATGGACACGCAGCCTCGCGTATAGCGGGGGAAAGCCTGGCATGGACTCTCAGCTCTAAGCTCTGAGCTTCCCAGGAGTGGAGGGCATTTTCAAAATCGATGTCGGCTGGCTCCCGCGACTGTTGCCAAAGCCAGGATTTTAGGAAAACTGGTTCGATCTTTGCTTTCTTGTCTGTGGGACTGCTTGCTGTCTGGGAGTCTCTTGGACGCACCTCGCGAACAAGGGTGCTGCATTGACCAACGTGCTGCTCTGCGGTGCCACATTCGTGGCAAGGCAGGTGATGCACTGAGGTGCGCGTGGAACAACAACTCTCGTGGGATGGGGCTTGGCTGGGCAGCCGCGGAGTGGAGCTCAGTGCCAAAATGCGGGCAGGTGAGGAGGGCAAAAGACAGGTGGCGGGGTGGTGCCGCTGCAGGTGGCAAAGAGTCTTCGTATTCTTCGAACTATGCCGCTTCGGAGTGGTCGTCGTGTTTCGGCGAGTGCCTCTGATAGCAATTGATAGCATCCTCAAAGTCTCATTCTGAACGAGATGTCGATGGCTCTGGCTGGCCAAGGGAAGCCGTGCAGCACCATAGATGGCGGCATGCTGGCTGGCACCGTTAAGACCACACCTTCCGGCACCGCCCTGCGCACGAACGAGAATCACTGCAACCTGCCTCTCTCACGATCATCAAATATTCTGTTCGTTGCTGTTCTTTGCCTTCCGTGCACCGGGAAGCGCTCGGCTGCCGGCAGGAAGTGGTGAATAGCTCTTGCAGAGTAGTTCGTTGTCCAGCCGCGGCCGCTTCGCGTAAGCGCCTCCGGGGCGAGGCGTGCAACCGTTTGGCAGGCAGCTTGCCGTCTGGGAAGGAGGCGGTCATGCTCCGAGTCTTAGTCGGATGTAGGCATTGCATCGCTGCCGAACGGCACACCGAGAACACTCTTAACCCCAGTTGATGCGACGGGAGCGCCCAATCCGCAGAGATGCCAGGTGTCTCTTTGTCTGCAGTTTCTGGGCACACAACGCCCGCTGGCTGGTCAGAGCTCATGGACCTGCTCCGAAGTGCGTCGTCTGTGCAACAGATGCCAAACAAATCGCTTCGCCATCGCACTGCTTCAAGCGCCGCACGAAGGGATAGCCCTGCTTGCCACCCTCGCCTTCCGCAACGTTGTGGGAGACCCCTTCGCCATCGAGACTCGCGTCCACGCAGACCGCAATAAGCCTCAGTTACGAGTGGTGATGAACATCATGGTGGCACTTGTTGAATCCTATCCTCCGTACTATCCGCAGGGGAAGAAAATTACACCTACCTACAAAGTTTTGGTCCGTTCACACTTTGTGTATGTACCATTGCTAACCGCCCTTTAAACAGGCTTGTGTGAATCCCGCGTGGATGCTAGCCGCATCTAGCCGCCCTGAACCAGGATCCCAAGCGAATCGATGAGCAACACGCAAGTCAGAAAGTCAACCCCCCCGCATACTGATAAGAAGGCGAGACAGGAGGATTTGCCTGTCGAGTCTAGTGCTGAACCTTGCATTTATTGCTACATGCAACACCACAACTAGCAATAATGGCATCACAATTATGATTCGCATGTTTGCCATTGTATCGAGTATTGCTAGTAAGATTCTTACTGATGATTCACTCTTGCTCCTGCTCCTGTTGTTGTTCTGAGGGTAGTGTTTAACAGAAGGGGTTATGGATTCAGAGTAGAAGTAGTCGTCGTCGTGGTCGAAGTCGAAGTCTTATTCGTAGACGTACGTAGTCGTAGTCGTCGCAGTCGCAGTCGTCGTTGTCGTAGTCGTCGGAGTCGCCGTCAGTAGTAGCAGTGGTAGCAGTATTATTAGAATTAGTAGTAGTAGAAGTGGTTTTCGTAGTAGTAGTAGTAGTAGTAGTAGTCGTAGTCGTAGTCGTAGTCGTAGCAGTAGCAGTAGCAGTCGCAGTGGCAGTGGCAGTGGTAGTGGTAGTGGTAGTAGAAATAATCGCAGTAGTAATAGTAACAATAAACAACAGCAGTAATACTAGTGCCAGTATTAACTTGTACTAGTACTTGTACTAGTGCTAGTACTAGGACTGTTTGTGCTAGTGCCAGTACAATTTTAGTAGCATTAGTAGTGCTATTAGTTTTTTTGTAGTACTCGTACTAGTAGTGCTAGTAGTACTCGTGGTGCGAGTAGTACTCGTAGTACCAGCAGGATGGCTGGGATGCTTACCGCACAGCATAGCAACAAAGCTCGGCAGTGCCCCGCTGAAGCCAGAGCGGCGGTGTCCACAGAGCTGCGCGCAAGCTGGTGATAGTGGCTGTGGGAAGCTAGCATGGAGCAGCGCTGAGTTGTTGAGGGTCGCTGCATTGGGATCGTGCCGGATCAACCTCATGATCCGCCAAAGGCCTTCTGTCGGTACAGGCATCGCTCATGGTCGGCTTCCGAGGCAGGTTTCTCTTCTCGCGACTCGGTAGGCAAGTCATCGGCTGTCCACCGTCGCGTTCTGCCACTCTTTTGAAAAAGCTCGAAGAGCTTAACCTCAAACTTGATCACCCCATTATACTTTGCATGCCAGTGGGTGATGATCTCTTCGGTGGCTCCCAAGATCTGGGGCGGGGGTCCTGCTGGTGCAGGTCGGCTTCGCCCCAGAAAAGCACAAATAGCAGCTGGTTGCCAGTAAATCATCCAGCATGCCGAAGCGATCAGAAGCGTGGGCTGCTGAGACCCATCCTTTTGCCCACAAGGCTTTTGTGGATATCGTTGGTCATGGATATGGATGCCCTACGCTGCCCTGCATCAAGAAGAGTGGGCCCAGATGCACACTTTGAGCCTGGCTTTTGATGACTGCCGGTGCAGTTCATCATCTGCTGTGCCGTCCTGAAGTCTTAGCAGTTTAGCATCATCGATGGGTTCTGTTTTTGCCGTGATTTTTGCGCCGGGGACACTTTGTCTCTCATGTGATGTTGTGACGCACCTTCGCCCCATCCATTCTCAAGCAGACACAGATCACTCACACGCTGACCAAGTGGATGACTGCCGAACTTGTGTGCAGCTGGCCCACCTTGACACTGCGAGTGAACGCAGGTAGCTGTAACGCTGTAGCTCTAGCAATGGGGATGCTATGGCGTGCCTTACAGGTACTGTTCGTGTGGTGCGCGAAGTCACTACGAAGGAGTGTGATTTGAAACTGTGGATTGAGCTTGCTCAGGTACCTGCTCATCGTTGGTGTGCAACTTCACGCTGCGTGGGCTTTCAGAAGATAGCCAAGGCCCGCTTTCGTCGGATGCCACGCACGTCCATGTATGTTCAGGTTTCGTGCTCCTCGGTGTCCGATGGACGTTGGCAAGCGACCTTGCTACCGTTACACTGGCACGTTACTAGTTAGTAGCTCGGGTCAGTAATCGCTTGGAATAAAACGCATCCAATTGACAGGCCCTCTCTTTCAGGAGCATGAACTAGTGAACATCTCCGTGAAGACCTTACCGCTCAGAGCCAAAGTGGAGATCAGCCGGCCTAGCTCTCGTCTCAGGTTTTTCTCACAACGGAGAAAGCGCTGCAGTGGTGGACTGACGAAGGCGAACCCCAAGTTCGAGTACTCACTCCATTGGCCCACTTTACGACTGAACCTCGAAGCGCAACGGTTCGCGAAACAGACTGAAATTGATTGCGGGCGCTATCTGTGGCTGCATGTTTCTGCGAGTTGCGCGCCGATACACTGATATGCACCGATACCCGGCCATCTGCGCCGAGACACCGATACACCAAAAGTCTAAGTCTCCATCCTCGGAGTTCAAGTTTTAGAAGAGTTTTGATTTCAATGGTCATGGGCACCCCAGCCGTCCAAGGTAATGCCATGTCTTCATCACCGTCACCATCAATTGCCTTCGCGAATGTTACCATCTTGCTTTCATACATCTTGTCATCTGGGTGTCGTCCGGCACAATCATTACTACCAGATGATTGGTTGGGTTGTAGGCTCAGCTTTTGCTTCATCAGGCAGTCGATTTGAAATTAAATGAAACTAAAGTGGTTCGTTCGTGGTATAATATAACATTATAAAACAGTTTGAATACTGAATTGACCGGCACTGTATGGCCACACAAGCAGATATCGGCGCAAGTCGGCATCAGCGGCGTATCGGCATAACTCAGCCCGTATCGGCATAAACGGCGTAACCGGCGTATCGGCATAAATCGGTACGTTGGCTAATTAAATCGGCGTAAGCGTAGTAAGCGGTAAAATCGGCGTATAAGTGGCATAGCGTATCGACGTAAATCGTCGTAAGCGCTATCGGCACACATCGGCGTATGGCAGCAAATCGGCGCTCACGACGTTCTCGTGATTCGGCACAAGCGGCGTTTTGGCGTAATCGGTGTACCGGCGTATCGGCGTAATTAGGCGGTGCATGTCGGCGTCCTCCCGAAGCCGCGCTTTACCCCCACTGTCCGCAAAGTGAAACTCGACCACCCGCCCGCCAAGCCTGGCAACCTAGTCCTTGTCCCCGAAGCTCCAGCCAAGGCTGCCAACCACACCCTTGACCCTAAACCCCTTGCGGTATTGGCAAAAGAGGCTGAATATGGGAACGGGTCCGTTCTGATACCTTCGCATCATCGGGCCGCCAGTGTGTCAACAGCCCGTGCTGGCTGTGGGGCCTGTGGGGAGGTTGCAAGAATGTCCGAGCAAGGTTCGGTTACTTTGAGCAAACTCCTCGTTCAGAGTTCAGGGTTGAGAAGGTCTCAAGGCTTTTGAGGTTCAGGGTTGAAATTGAATCGATCTGGAGTTTAAGGGTTGGGACAAGATGGTCTGAGGTTTTGGGCTTGAGGTTAAGAGGGTTTGCGCTTTGGGATGGCCTCGGGTGGGATTGGATGGGATCATGGCTGGCCTGCAAGCCCTTCTTACCCCGAGCAAAGCAACCAAAAGCAAAGCTGAAGACCCAGCCCACGCGCTTGTGCGGGAGTGGCTTCCGCTGCTCTTGGGCTGAGTACGAGCAAGAGCTGTAGCGGCAGCACTGCATGTGGTCAAAATGGCATGATTCAAACTCATCGTTCAAAACCCTCCAGGCATATGCCGGCATGATGCATCGCAACTCTCGGTTGGCATTGAATGAACGGAGGCTATGCGCAACTGGTGCATGTGTTGAATGCAACAGCCACTGCCTCAGAAAGCAGGCTTGCACATGGTCCGTGTGGGCAGTCTCAGTTTTTGTTTCTCGAGGTGTCATTCGGCGAATCTTCGCAGCTTAGGTGATGATTGCATGTTGACGGAAGGAGCATCCCCGCATGTTGCTTCTTCTGGGCTTGAGCAGGACGACCCTGCCGCTTTCAAGTCAACTTCTTCAAGGCGCCCAGGCCTCGGCAACGGCTTGAAGAAAGCTGATTTTGCCGGCGCCATGACGAGTGCAAAACCCTAGGTTCGCCGCAACGAGTCCGTGCTCTACGTCCACTGCTTCGTTGTCAGAGACGGTTCCAGGAAAGGTGTTGAGCATTCTTGCTGAGCTATGCGAAGTAGCTGTGCGGGTCATGAAGATGAGAGATGATGTGCAGCATGCAGCGGTCGTAACAGTCAGGCAAGAGCTTTGAAGAGCACATGTCCCTTCCTCGCCGATGTATGCTTCCTCTCGAGGTCGTAGTTTCTCAGCGCTGAGAAGCCTTAGGCTTGGTCGGCGCGAACATGGAAGATCGGCTCCGTGCCGAAGCCTCGCAAGAGCCCCTTGTAAGTAAGGGATGCCGGCGAGGCCACCCAGGCGTCCAAGAGACGGAGGCTTCGACAGCTGGGACTGTGTGTGCAATTGTTTTCGGGCGGCGGCGGGGCAGAGAATTCCCAGGATTTCCCAGGGCTCTGAGGCGCCGCAGCCTTTGACCACACAGGATGTGGAGAACCACGGCCCCGGCCCCGACTTGGACAGAATAGAAGCAGCTCCGGAAGCAGACCTGGCTGGGGAGAGCGGGGAGGAGGAAGTGGCCGAGAATGATGAAAATGTGAGAGCTGAGATGGAAAGTGATGATCGATCTTTGGACAGACACGGAGCCGGCCAACTCGCATCAACTCGCAAGAACTGGCCAGGGCCGGCCGACTAGCCGCCATTGTGAAAGCAGAGGCAGATGCGGAGCAGGAGGAGGACATGCCACCTCGAGAGGAGCCCTTTCCGCGCGAGGCCAGCATGGCGAGTGCTGTTCCTTCTGTGCAGATCGTGAAAGCAGAGGACGGCCTGTACGGAGGCTTTGGAGGGGCCGGTCATGGGGCGGGAATGCAGATGGCCATGATGAGCCTGATGGGCCAGATGCTGCAGCAGATGAAGGAGCAGAATAAAGAGATGGCCGAGTACCACAAGAGCAGCCTGGCTCAGCAGAAGGAGCAGAACGATCGCATGTTTGAGCTGCGCAAGGCCTTGGCTCAACAGCGAGAGGCGGCCTCAGCAGCTTCGTCGTCCGCTGCACCGGCAGCAGGCCAGCTCACGTGTGGCGGCGGTGAAGTTGGAGGACGGGAAGCTGCTTTACTCACCACTTTTTCTGGAAGCGGCACTGGGGCAGGTAGGCACTGTCATCCTGGAAACCTTGCACGGGTTGGACAATCTACTGACACTCCACGGTGGTCTATTGAGGCCCCTTTACTTCTCAGACCACGTGCGGCAGCAGCCGGACAAGCTTCGAGGTAACAGAGCACTTCGCCAGAAGCTTCCCGAAGACTTGGACCTGACTGGCATCAGCACTCCGAAACCACCACTCCTCAGCACGAGCCTGGACGTGCTGAAGCAGGCTCCTTGGATTCCCAAAATTTGGGCTCGTGACTGCTCCTGCTTCGCGCAGCAGCTTATGTTCTGCCCACTTTCTTGCTGCCCACTTCTGCTGCCCACTTTCTTGCTGCCCACTTTCTTGCTGCCCACTTCTGCTGCCCACTTCTTGCTGCCCACTTCAGCTGCCCACTTCTGCTGCCCACTTCTGCTGCCCACTTCTGCTGCCCTTTGCTCCTGCCCACTTTCTTGCTGCCCACTTTCTTGCTGCCCACTTTCTTGCTGCCCACTTCTGTTGCCCACTTTCTTGCTGCCCACTTTCTTGCTGCCCACTTCTGCTGCCCACTTCTTGCTGACCACTTCTGCTGCCCACTGCTGCTGCCCACTTCTGCTGCCCACTTCTGCTGCCCATTGCTCCTGCCCACTTTCTTGCTGCCCACTTCCTGCTGCCCACTTCTGCTGCCCATTGCTCCTGCCCACCTTCTGCTGTCTGCCGCATACTTTCTGCTGCAGACTTTCTGCTCAAATTGCTGTCCACTCGTTGCTTGCTGTTCACTTGCTGCCAACTCCTACCCATCGCTGCTGTCCGTTTCTGCCCAGTGCTGCTGCCCGCTTTCTGCTGTCCACCTTCACTCTCTATCTAAGCTAAACGCGCAGCAGTGCGCAGCAGCTTATGTTCTACCCACTTTCCGCCTACTTCTGCTGCCTACTTTCTCCTGCCCACTTCCTGCTGCCCACTTCTGCTGCCCACTTTCTCCTGCCCACTTCCTGCTACCCACTTCTGCTGCCCACTTCTGCTGCCCGTTTCTGCTGCCCATTGCTCCTGCCACTTCCTGCTACCCATTGCTCCTGCCCACTTTCTTGCTGCCTACTTCCTGCTGCCCACTGCTGCTGCCCACTTCTGCTGCCCACTGCTGCTGCCCACTTCTGCTGCCCACTTCTGCTGCCCATTGCTCCTGCCCACTTTCTTGCTGCCCACTTCCTGCTGCCCACTTTCTTGCTGCCCACTTCTGCTGCCCACTTTCTTGCTGCCCACTTCTGTTGCCCACTTTCTTGCTGCCCACTTTTTTCCTGCCCACTTTCTTGCTGCCCACTTTCTTGCTGCCCACTTTCTTGCTGCCCGCTGCTGCTGCCCACTTCTTGCTGCCCACTGCTGCTGCCCACTTCCTTGCTGCCCACTTTCTTGCTGCCCACTGCTCCTGCCCGCTTTCTTGCTGCCCACTTTCTTGCTGCCCACTTCCTGCTGCCCACTTCCTTGCTGCCCACTTCTGCTGCCCACTTTCTTGCTGCCCAATTATGTTGCCCACTTCCTTGCTGCCCACTTTCTTGCTGCCCACTTTCTTGCTGCCCACTTCTTGCTGCCCACTTCTTGCTGCCCACTTCCTTGCTGCCCACTTTCTTGCTGCCCACTTCCTGCTGCCCACTTCTGCTGCCCACTTCTTGCTGCCCAGTTCTGCTGCCCACTTCCTTGCTGCCCACTTTCTTGCTGCCCACTTCCTGCTGCCCACTTCCTTGCTGCCCACTTTCTTGCTGCCCACTTCTGCTGCCCACTTCTTGCTGCCCACTTCTGCTGCCCACTGCTGCTGCCCACTTCTGCTGTCCACTTCTGCTGCCCATTGCTCCTGCCCACTTTCTTGCTGCCCACTTTTTGCTGCCCACTTTCTTGCTGCCCACTTCTGCTGCCCACTGCTGCTGCCCACTTCTGCTGCCCACTGCTGCTGCCCACTTCTGCTGCCCACTTCTGCTGCGCATTGCTCCTGCCCACTTCCTTGCTGCCCACTTCCTGCTGCCCATTTCTTGCTGCCCACTTCTGCTGCCCACTTTCTTGCTGCCCACTTTCTTGCTGCCCACTTCTTGCTGCCCACTTCTTGCTGCCCACTTCCTTGCTGCCCACTTTCTTGCTGCCCACTTCCTGCTGCCCACTTCTGCTGCCCACTTCTTGCTGCCCACTTCTGCTGCCCACTTCCTTGCTGCCCACTTTCTTGCTGCCCACTTCTGCTGCCCACTGCTGCTGCCCACTTCTGCTGCCCACTTCTTGCTGCCCACTTCTGCTGCCCACTCCCTTGCTTCCCACTTTCTTGCTGCGCACTTTCTTCCTGCCCACTTCTGCTGCCCACTGCTGCCCACTTCTGCTGCCCATTGCTCCTCCTGCCCACTTTCTTGCTGCCCACTTCCTGCTGCCCACTTTCTTGCTGCCCACTTCTTCTGCTGCCCACTGCTGCTGCCCACTTCCTCCTCGAATCTGCTCAATTCTGTCCAACTTCCCTGCTCACCTCTACCTACTTCTGCTTATGTTCTGCCCACCTTCTGCCCACTTCCTGCTGCCCACTTCTGCTGCCCATTGCTCCTGCCCACCTTCTGCTGTCTGCCGCACACTTTCTGCTGCAGACTTTCTGCGGCAAATTGCTGTCCACTCGTTGCTTGCTGTTCACTTGCTGCCAACTCCTACCCATCGCTGCTGTCCGTTTCTGCCCAGTGCTGCTGCCCACTTTCTGCTGCCCGCCTTCACTCTCTATCTAAGCCTGCTGCCACAGCTAAGGACCTACGCGACTAGTGCCCTCCGCAGCTCCGGGGCAGCAGTGACCATGAGCTCCTATTGATGCGCGTCTTCTCAGAGCGCATCAAGCCACTCAGCAGCCTGATGATGGATGGCCTCACAAGCAGGCGCGACCTTTACTAAGCAGCTACGCAGTTGGTGGGCTGTCCAGGCAAGGTTGCTCTGGCCAAGCACCTCAGCAAGGAGATGCTACAGCTGCCAGGAGTAGCCGGTCCGGACCGACTTGGAGTGGTCCACTTGTTCCAGTTGTTCGATGGCCCTACCCCTCTCTTGTGCAAGATGGGCAAATAGTGCTGGAATCTTCGCCTCGAAGATCGATCACTGCCACTGACCACCATCTTGCCGATGTACTCCAATGCAGTTCCGTCTTTCACTGCAGGAAAGCATCAGTGGCGGTTGCAGGCAATCCTGCTGTCGCAAAACGACACAACTGGCTGGCTGGCGGAGCAAGCCTGCCATGGACTTATGTTTCGCTACAATCGAGAGCTCTTGCTTTGCGACGCAAGCTTATGGAAGCGATCAAGGGATGGTGTTGGCTGGAAAAGCCAATTGTGGGAGGTTATCAGCATTCCGCAAAAAGCAAGCTCATCGAAGTCATGAAACATGTGGCAGACTGGGACTGTGAAACTTTGCTTGAGCGAAAGCAAAGTTTGGTTTCTTGGTTTCTTCCACGAGCCAAAGAGTTCTACAGTGGTTGGGCACATGTGGATTTGGCAGACCCTGTGCCTCCGCAGCCTTCAAAGCAAGACACTGTGTGGGAACAGTACGCCTTCGACCAATGCAATGACAATGACGACTGGCTCCGCCGTTGCCACCAACTTTATTTGCCTTGCAGCAGGCGAACGCCAGCAGAACCCAGCCTGGTTTCGCGTCAGTCGCGGCAAGCTCCTATGGCCTACGAGCAAGAACATGAGAGCCAACTACGAAGGCTCCGCTGTGTGGCCAATGCTGTTTGTCCGCTTCGATGCGATCCCGGCTGAGTTGCTGCAGCAAGTGCGCAAGAGACTGCCGGCACCGACAGAGGCTGCGCCCAAGAGTCGCCAGACGAGACTGCGTCGGCCCGCTGCTGCAGACCCGCGCTGACCACGACCCATGCGTGGGCACGGTCCCTTTCTGCAACCTGTATCTTAGAGCACACATGGAAGCCTTTCTAATTGCATGGCATGTGGTAGGCATGAAGGGAGACAACCAAGCATATTCACAACAGGTACAAACCAACATAAAAAAGTAGGGTACTAAACTTTCAGGCTTCAAGACAACAACACACACTTGGAAGTGTTTAGCTTGTGAATCATAGGGAAATCCTACATAAATATAAATATACATTAGAATCCCAAAACAAGTACAAACCAACATAAAAAAAAGCAGGGTACTAAGCCTTCAGGCCTTAGAACCGTTGTCACCTACACCATGCCCGTGTGCAGTTCGAAGCTTCTTTGCATGTAAAAGAACAGGGGGTTTTATCCCACGCACGTGAAGGGAATTCATGCACCAGGATTTCCTGCACTTGAAAAAGAAGAGCGTATCCTTCGAGCTCTCGTCACTGCATGCCGTACTCGTGAAAAAAACCATGCAACAACATGTCATGCAGCGGTCGCCGCAAAGCCGCGAAGTTTCGCGGCAGCTTGCGAAAGGCTGGCAGAGGAGATTCGCACCGGGCCTGGCCCCAAAGTCCCCCCAACAAAAGTCCCAGAACCCGGGAGTTCTTTTCACGCATCTCAGGCCAATTCCCGAATTGCCGGGCGTCATCAGCGAGCATGTGAGCTGGTCTCAGATGTCGTTCGGCGCTCGAAGTGCTCGTTCCGCATGGTCCGAGGTTGCATACGACAGCCCAGATAGTGAGGCACCAACCACAGGCCTGAGCTTAGCAGTAGCCCGATCCTCAACGACCTCGCTCAGCCAATGCAGGTTCAACGTAGTCGGCGAAATCTTCTGGCAGGGAACCGAAAGCTATAAGTATTCTGATTTGGAGGGCAGGGGTGGAGGCTTGCATGGCATGGTCAGGCACAGCACAATGACACTAGTGCTGCAGAGCCCTGAGCTAAGCTTGTCATGTTTATCGCACATGTCAGCTCTGCAGTTTGGAGCCAGCTGCGCCAGCCAACGTGGATGCGGATGGCAGCAAAGAAGCAGCTACTGCAGTTAATGGACATACTACTGACATGAGGAGCCCATTTCTAGGGGAAGCGAGACAAAAAAGAACAACCGTTAGGCGGGCCTACAGGGCGACACCACCTAAAAGCAAGAGCGGGCCCCCGAAAATGATGAGTAAGGTAGTCGCTCACCATATATCATGTACATCTTCAGTCCTGGTGGTCATGCCAGCGTGGAAAAGCATCGCTATGATTTCTGGTATAATGTGAGCGCGGCCTATTGCAAACTGTTCTGGTGAGAAGTGGCGGCTTCCCGCCCCGCCTCTCTGGAGACAGCATGAAAGTCGTCATGGGCAAAGAGGTCCATGAACGAACGATAGGTGGCAATCATGAAAATCATGGGGAAGCGGAGGAAAGGTAGCCGGCTTTCTTGGAGCGTCAGAGCGCCAACCCAGCAGCAAGCAGCGCAGAGGTAACCCCCGAAAGGACACGTGATGTATCGCAACAGTAGCATGCGACCAAGAGCAAAAAGCCAGCTCGACATAGCTCGACCAGTCGGCACCATTGCGGAGCGAGTGCTTAGGGCTTAGGAAGGAATGGGTTCAGCGCTGTGCTCAGCCCCTCATAGACTGGCACAGACGGAGACACCAAAAGATCCTGGACCCTGCAGCTTCTCTTCGAACTTCGCCCTTTCCCAGTTCTCAGACCAATGATCGACACCTAATTAGCCGAGAAAGCTTCATTGTGGGGTGCAAGCCAAAGCACGCCACCTTGTTGGTTTGTGGCATTGTGATAGCTACGGCCTCCGGACAGATTGCATTTTCACCCGCCAAGGACTGCAGTCGAGGTGACTTTGATTCCGGGCCAGATGCTTAATGCTCCAGAGCACGGAAGATGCTGAGTTTGCTCAACTATTTTCAGGACCCGAACCACAAAGCGATCTGATTGGGAATGAGCGGGCTCAAGCACGGGGCGCCAAGGGCCCCGCTGTGGAAACGGGCCGGTTAACACGTGCTTGCCTGTGCTTCAGCCGCGTAGTGATAGCAGACGCACTGCGTCCGACGACTGCCGAAGATGGCGGCTGAGTCTGGTTTCCCCGAGACTCGGCAGAAGGCTGCTCCTCACCGGTCACCCTGTGCAATAATGAGGGCTTTGCATGGAACCAGCGAAGCTACACCGGCAACCAGCTAGCGGCCGGCAATGACCTGCTGAATTTGGCGAATTCGGTTATTGCCAGGTCCGGCAAGAAGCGAAACGAACTATGTAGTGACGACGGTGTCGGGTGAATCATGGATTTGCTGCGGGAAGACGAATCCAGCGTGAAGACAGGGCCAGTCCCTGCACGCCAATAACGGGCTGCTCTCCCATGCCGAGTTTTTACGGATGCTACGGCACGATCACCCCGAAGATCGAGGCAGAGGACTCCGATAGTCCGATAGCCGACACAGCGGTTCGTTCTGTGTGGCCAATGCAATACTCGGATGCTTTTGATTTTGTTGCGAATGGCCGAATGCTCCGGGCTTCGTTCTGTGCGGTCAAGGCAACACTCGCATGCCCTCGGGTTCGTTCTGTGTGGCCGTACTCGGATGCTTGGCCAATGTAACTGCGGTGATCCCCTCGCCGGCAGTGGAAGCAGCTTCCAAGGAAATCCCACACTCTCAACCAAAAACTTGCACCTCCAGATTGATCGTTGAAGAGGAGCGTGGCGGCCTGAAGGGGTCTCGGTGAGAGCATGTGAGAGTCACATTGGTGTACAAGTCGGCGTTTGGCAGGCTTATCGTTGACATCCTTCGCCGGGGGTATGAGGTAGCCATGGCACTGGAAGTAGGGCTTTAGCTACAGAAAACTGCCGTTCCGCCGTGACGGCCTTGGTGTTCTTTCTACGGCGTGATTTTCACAGTTTTTGTCTCTCAGTGGACTCTAGGCACAGGCTTCTCCACCTAGAAATAGTGGGTGGTTGAGCTAACTCGATCGACTCCGCATGCTGCGCACAAGGGTTTATGTATCGTCCACACATTGTCTGGGCGTGTTGCTTTTGTTTTTGTTAGTTGTTGGTTGTGGTGTGCGCAGGCTTTCCGGCATATCAGTTTTTGCCTGAGTTGGTTGTCCGCTGAGGGGTATGTGCTCTTGTAATTCAGGTATGAGAGTCAGTGGTAGATATCTCCGCGTCCGTGGTACACCATGCAGGTTGCCAAGCCATGCAATCTCCGATCTACAACAGTCTCTGGGTTGCTTGGATGGCGCGGGGGTGCCGGTGTGCCACTGCTTGACCCTATCTCACGCGATCCTCGCGCATCGTGGCGTTTGACTCGCGCAGGGCATACTTTTAGATGCCTCTTCACCCTGAGTGTTTACTGACTTTTCTGGCTTGTGCGCATTCAAGTCGTTGAAGGCCAACCAAATTATAGATTCCTGTTTGCCCAAACAAGAAGGCGGCGATTCCCTGAGATGGCGAAAACCATAGCGTGACAAGTCTGTAGATTCATGGTGCTTGCGTGTCCGTGCTCCCTGTAATCATAACCTTTCGCACCGATGTTCCTTGACAAATTTCATGTACGGGGGTTGCCCCAGTGGTCCGCATGAATTAACTATGTGTGCCCGGCGTTCTATCGTCATCACATCAATGTTGTATCACAGCACAGACATTGAGGATGCACAGGTTCGGAATACAGAGTCGGCTATTTCAGCATATTTCAGCGTGTGGCGCGCCCTTGCGCAATCCCTGCTTTTCCGAGTTCTTGGGCCGGCTTCCGGCGTGGGGCTGACGAGCGGCAACACACATCGCTGGGGTTGACTTGGGGCGAGCGCAAAGTACATGTAGAAGGAGATGCTGCCTGCATCAGGCGTTACTTCGGCTTTACGCACTTCAACAAGGCTGTCGAGCTCTTGAATCTTGAAGCAGGCCGAGCACTTGTCGCAGCGTTTCTGATTCGCATAGGCACGGTGAATGCAGCCAAGCGCGGCATCAGCCTTCACCGGCGGTTGGAAGCCTTTGTCAAAGAACATCCGATGGACACCGTTGTCCTGCCCGAGTCCAACCTCCTGAGTGGTCCGCCATTGGGTACTGCAACTCTTAGAGGGCTTCCGGCCTCTGTGCTACGCCTCAGACCTGCCACCTGATTGCCAAATCATTGGGAACACAACACGGTATGTGCACATGCGTGGTGGACGGATGAGCATGTGCAGGGAGTAGGTGCTTTTCGAGTAGGTGAGAGCCACAGGCTGCCGCTACAGCCGGAGCCCGCTCCTAGAAATGTCCCTCTGAGTTCCCCTTGTCGAGTGGCGAAAAGGACCGAAGGTTTCGGAGAGCTTTGGACTGACATGGTCTGCCACTCCTTCTGGTGCCGGATGCATCTCAGCTGTCAAGGCTGGAACTTTGTGATTTATCCAAGAAGCTGTGCTTACTGGGCATTGGCCTCAGCTTGACTCAGTACTCGTGCAACCTTGTGATCAACCATGCAGCATGCTGCTAGGCGGTATCCCTCTTCGTGGTGTCCTACTTTTCTGAGCTTACAACCTGGACGGTTTGCCATATCTGATTCAAGCATTTTTGCTGCAGTGCTTGATGTTTCGGGCATGATCAGTTTTGACTAGAGGCCTACGCTGGCTCTGGCGGGTGTGCGACATGGACGCTTGGATGGCACTCAGGCTTCGCATTCGGATCAGGGAAGGTACCATATGCTTTTAATACTGCGTCGCTGCAGGTCTGCTCGCCATTGTAGTGCCCTTCCTGCTTCAGCTTTCGACGGGTGAGGTTGACACTGAGATTCGCATGTTGTCACGTCGGTGCTGGGTGACGGACATCAGATGCTGGTGCTTGGCTTGGCAGGCAGAATCTGGGAAAGCAGCCGCTCTTGATGCATTTCAGCTGGTGCGGACCTCAGCTAAAACTGGCAGAGGCATTCGAGACGACTTGCGCTCCTGTGCGCTGAGTCTACCCCAGCTCCAATCGTGCCGCATCTGGTCCCTTTTTTCCGCATTGCTGGGGCCTCATCCTGGTGCTGCGATCTGCGAAGCAGTTTTTCTTTAATGTGATTATCGCTGCCTCGATACTCTCTTGGCCCAGGAAGTCGCAACTGATTTTGAGGCATGCCGCCACAGACACCAACAACCTGCATGCGTGCACCCTGCAGGTTTATGACGGAAGGCATCCACCGCCACTTCTGTACAAGGTCATTATTAAGAGCTCTCGGGTTGCCGAGCTCATGTCCAGCATTTCTTTACGCCAGGCTTTTGTTGTTGAACATTCCTCTCTGCGAGAACGTGACGTCCGCTCGGCTGGCGTTTCCGCAGCGGGAGTGACAATATCAACGCAGCCAAGGTGCGATACACGGTGTTGGCGCCGAGGCCTGCGTATCTTGTTGCCACGGCATTTCCAACGTTTCCGTTCGCAGGCATGCAGAAGGACCGCACTATGCCCCACCTTTCTCCGTGGACACGGCGAGTTGCTGCCCCAGACATTGACGCAGCTAAAATCGGCGCAATGCGATGCAATGGGCGAAAGGCCATTCAGGCGAGGCGACAGTTTTCTGAGAATATTAATCGTAGAATCCGGCAGAGAACAAAATCAGACAAGCAACTGTACTGCGGCCGGCTTCGGGGTGGCTGATTCGACGGTGCCCTATACGTGGATGTTGAATTGTCGATGTTGTCGGTTGGCTCTCTCCTGCGCTGTTGTTTTGGAAGCTCAGTGCCGACGGAATGCGTGGCCTGCACTCACGTGGCCGTTGGACGAAGATGGAAGAAGAAGTGCTTATGCATACAGGGACAAAGCGCGAAGCATTTGGCCTTCGGATGCAGGTATCCAAGCCAGTGGCATATTGACTGGGCCCGTACCGAGGACACTGGCGAGTTTCCACTGAATCCACGATTGGTGCCTTGCACACGTCGCACTGAATGACATACGAAAAAGTTTGTCTGGCCCTGACTGTTCGGGGTGCATTGGATGAGGCCACTGCCGATTCTATATAGCTGGCCGGGCCAGGGCAGGAATTGCCTCGGTTGGCGATACTTCGCGGGGAGGCTTCTACTGTATCTCTGGTTTGAACGTGCCTGTTGTCTCATTCCCTGCCCTGTTACCCACCTTCTGTCTCCACAGTTCGGGGCGGGAATGTGTTTGGATTTGCCATATTACTGTGACCGGGGATGTTGAATCCTCCCAAATAAGTTGGAAACGTCTGGGAGACCGTGCTCCCCTCGATAGCTGGGCACTTGATTTCTGCTCGGAGAAAATTCTGTCTGCCGCAACTGAAAGTTGTCCCGTCATCTCTCTAGCCGATGTGGCTTGAAGACTGGACTGCAAAGATGTTTTGAGGATGTGCAACGTTCGGCTTCTTTTAGCTTTTAAGTCGTTCCTCATGAACAAGCTTGAGGGCGGACCCGGTAGAGGCACTGCAGACCGGATGCAAAAAAGGTCATACTCGACACCGATTCCCAGCTGATGATGGAGCAGAGCCTGGGTTCAAAAAAGCTTGCAAGATGCTGCTGGCACTGTGGCATGCTGGTATTCTACTGTGCTGTTTTGGCGCAGTGGATCTCGGTTAGTCGGTTAGTCTCAGTGTCAGCAAAGGATCGTCAGGCTAGCGGCTAGCTGTGCTGTTGCTGTGATCTTCAAGAGGCGGAGTTGAATCCGAAGACAAGGGCAAGAAGAAAGTAGTGCATAGTAGTGCTAAACAATGCTAAACAACTTACATCGACTAACATCACTAGGACAGAAACACTGAGCAGTGAGTAGTTTGCGTTGGGGTTGTTACGGAATAGCATTGGCGTTGACGACATAGATATAACTGACACAGGTCTGTGAATCATGCAAGTAACCCTTGACTGCTGCGGCGAGCATGAGCCTTGAGTTCGCTAGGTTTCCACTCGAAATCTTGGACACCAGTGGATCACAACGCCTCGAGGTGACATCTGCTACTTGTTGAAAGCTCGGATAGAGATTGATGCGACTTGAGCAGGCTTGATCCGGAGATGACAATTGAGGCAGCTTGCTGCATCGCTTGATGTTTTTCACTTGTTTGCTTAGTGGTACCATCCTTCAGTCAGACATTCCAACATTGAGGAGTCTTCTATGCACGTTTGCCATGTTCAGCGACCCCTTGGTCTCAGAGAATAGGACACACACACACTCTATATGTATATGTATATATGTATATATATATATATGTATATATATACATATATACTATGCCTATTATATATATATATATATATATATGTACATGTATACGTACATGCGTGTGTGTGTGTGTGGACACCAATTATGATGTCCAGACCAACCAAATAGTAGTGGGATCAGTATGCCATGATCATTGATCCCGAACCAAGCGAAGCAGGCACCACTTCGCCCGAATTGGTAGCTGTCATGTTAAGAAGGTTGGATCTCGCTGGGAGGCCGTAGTCCACCTTCGTGGTCTTTCGTGTTTCTCCACGAGTCCCATGATGGCTTTGACATAGTAACATGCATCCGGCAGGTGGAATTCACAGGCATGATCAAGCACAGTATCGTGCAAACTTTACGGGAGGCCATGAAAATGTGCCCTAGCAACCAGTGTCAAGTGGTCATCCAGAACGATGAAGCCGATGATGTTGAGGTACATGCATATGGGCGTTCGAGAGCGCGACCTCGAGGATTTGAAGGACCAGACCACATGTAGCAATAGCGATGATCAAACGGGGTGGAGTGGCATGTGGTTTTCAAACGCAACTGCAAGTCAGGAGTTTTTTTTCCGACAGCCACTTCACATCCTGATTGCCTATCAGGTTCGAAAATCGAGCTTGCTTTTGCCGCGCATCGCTGTGACTGGCACAAAGTATGGGACGCAGGTCATCGGAATCCTGCAGACGACTTTGCGAATGTGCTGAGCTTAGTTCGTGGTGGGGTCGATGTTCCGTGCAGTATCGCATAGGGAGTGAGCCCGTGTTCTGGAAAGGACATGCAACGACTATGATTCAATACGACGGTAGTTTTGTGCAAGAATGTAGACAAGGTCGGATAATTGGTGCCAAATCGCCGAAATCTCATGCATTCAGCATTCTGCGACTGCGAACAGGTGGATCTGCTGAGCCCGCGTAAACGTTGCATGTTCGCCATTGGTTGAGGTTTCAAGGAAGGAGGATGGCTCGCCCGAACGATTCCACAGGACTGTGCGAGGATGTTGCCATCAATGCAGTATAAAGTATACTCACACAAGCGCCGCCAAGCTTCAATAAGTGAACCACGAGGGCGCAAAGACTTACCTTCTGCAAGAAATGTCTGCAGAAATGCACGACGACGTGCAGTGCAAACTGAACCCGTGGAATCTGCAGTCGAGGGGTCCAGATTTCTTCAAACAAATTTGGCGATGTTGTTTCAGGCCCAGCTGAAAGTCTCAGATTGAGCAACGTCATGCGAAAGCCATGTGTTTGTCTATTCCTGCAGCGGATCTGTGACAGTTTCGGAAATTTTCGGTCGAAAGTGTGAGTCGTTTGTCGACGGTATTTCGAGATGAGGTTGCTTCAAGCGCTTCTCGGAACATTGCTTGCATGGCGAATGTCTGCAAACCGCCTCTTGCTCTTTATCATTACACCTCCTGTGAACCAAAATGGCACCGTTGTTGAGCCTTGCCGATTCCACGTCGGACGACGATAGATGTTGCGCCTGGGCTCACTTCGACGTTCATGGACACCCTGACGTGAACATTCCCTGAGTACAGGCTCGCATTCAAGAATGACATCACGTTCTTCAAAGGACGCAGCAGACCCAACGACTTGTGCCGGATAGCCGTGCCATTGAGAGCGAACCGTGAGCATACCTACCTTGCGGTCTGGATAAACGAGGCTCTGACTACACCGGCCTCTCCAGTCGATCCCTTGCGACGGACCTTGTGCAGGAGTAAGTTTTGCTCACATCACGTTCTTACCAAGTCACGTGGTCAAGCTGGCAGGAGATCGTCATATTCTTGTATCTCTATGATTTCGACAGCATCTCACGACTACTGTTGCTCCAACTTGGTATGTCCCTGTGCTCAGCTGATTGAAGTGGCACGCATTGCAGTTGCGTTTCTGTTATTCCGGATAGTGCTGCAGAGACTGCGTTTGTTTGTGTGCGCTAGTTTCGAGCATGTCAGTCATCGTGGGGTAGAGGCGATGGAGGGGATGGGGCCGAGGCAGGGAGTGCACTACGACATGCTAGCATGGCCCAGTTCACCCACGCCTCATGCAAGCCACCTGAGCTGCGGCGCACATTCAGTGCTGGTCAGCTGTGGTCGCTGCGTGAGATGATTGAAACTTGTAACATCTTTGCACACACACACAGATCTGCTGCAGGCTTCTTGGTGTTGTGTCTTTGGGCTTTTTGCATGTCATGCACTAAGCATACCGCGGAGAGACCCGGTTTTCGTCCTTAGGGAGGGCGGGTCCACAGCTGGAAGTCCAGCTCCTTGACCCGTTCCTAGCTGCCCTAGCTTGCACAATGGTGCGACGCGTTGCACAACACCCGCAGGTACAAACACACACAGCATCAGGCCGCCCTTTGCTGGAAGGTCAATGGTCTGTTTGTGTCGTTCGGCAACTTTGCGGCCAGCTTGCGAGAGGCATTATCAATATTGATTGTGAATCAATAGCTCATGCTGGCACGCGTCATGATTGCGCAGGGCAGATGGGGGTCTTTGGCATTGCAATGCACGGGCCTAGGTCTGCTGCCATCAGCTTCTGGAAATATGCACGCAGCCCCCCAAGATCGGTGCTTGCGCAGCCACGTAATTAGTGCCTGAATCAATCATTGGTACAGTTGCTTCTTATGGTGTCCATCAGCCAGTTGAGAGTCGTGACAAAGGTGTAGCACGACTTGGGACGAGGTGGTCCCGAACTGAGCAAAGATCACTCGTGTCACGTTGAGAGAGGGTGCCGGGTGTCGCATCTTCGAGTGGCCTCCAGTCTTTCATCGCAGCCAGTGACAGCTGCCATTCCTTTGGCCGGCTTCTATACGTCCAAAGAACCACAAAAGTGAAGAACGACGCGGTGGATGTGTTGTTCCTCTTCGACTCGTTTGACGTGAAGCAGTTACATGAGGACTGTGTTTGTGCGCGTGAACCTCTCTCGTTCAGGAGACAAGGGGTTCACAACCCATCCGTTGTCCATGTTTGCCAGGTTGACGTCTGATCATAGCCTTCGCATTAGGACAAAGATGCTGATTTACACATCGCTTGCGGGGGGCAGCGACAGAGTATTTGGGATCGCTGCCACCGAAGATGCCCATTGACTTTGGTGATGCACTGTCACTGGGAGACGTCCTGGTGTGTAGATGCACGGCCACCCCAAGGTACCCCAAAACATGTGTTGCTTCCATCGTTGACCGTTACCGTTGACCAATAAATTAAAGCACTACAGTTTTGAGCTTGAAGCTCAATCCGAAGCTGCATTACACGCAGCAATCTCGAAATTGATCAACAGGTCAAAGGCTCCAGGTGATGCTTGGCTCGCTTGCCGCAATCTGTTCCAGGTGACACCGGACAGCAAGCTCAGCAACATGTTAACTTACAGTAGCAGGAATCCGTCCGAAAGTGCAACCGACACTTTCTCAGTCACAGTGTGTGTGTGTGTGTGTTTGTGTTTGAAACCCTGTCACTAAGAGCGTGCACTTCATAGCGCACCAATCTTTCGTCTTTTACTAACGTTGCCGTGAATGGGACGCATTAATGTGACTCACACAATTTCTGGGGAGCAAGAAAATCTACACCATTGCTGCAGTGATTGTACGTATCTGAGTGCTGGAAGCCTGGCCAATGATGGAGCTGACATGGCACGATTGCCCAAACACCAGCGGGTCAGTACAGCGGGAGAATGAGTGTGGGCGCTATGGGTGCCGCCAATGCCTGCCACCAGAAAAACGTTTGGCACGGTAGAAATACTTTCACGTCCATTCTGACTGCGTTTGCTGGTGGGAGGAGGCGAGAAGTAGCAGACAGCACCGAATCACCATAAAGGAGCAGTGGGCAAGCTATTGCTATCCGGATGCTGCACAGGACAGTTGTAAGACGGTGGAAAGCGACACTGAATTAGGTGCAATGATTAGGTGCAATGACACATGGATCGGCATTTTGCTGCACAATGGTTGCCACACAGCAACAGCAATTAGTACTGGACTTCGCCAAAAGGTGAATGCCGTTGCAAGTCGCAGAGATAGAGGGAAACTCTTACAGACCTCGCGAGCGGGCATAGGCTTCCAAGCAATGCGAGAGGGAAAAAGGGATCGCTCTTTCGACAAAGCAGGGGGCAGAGGGGCTCATTTCACGGCCTCTGCCAACGAAGCTCGGTGGAATTGAGACAGGTAAACGTACCTGCAGTGGTCGGCATGGGCACACTAGTGCAGCTTGTGGCCACCAGGTGTCATGTTATTGATTCCGTGACAGTGCATGGTTTGTTAAATTTTGTGCTGTGCTTGCATGTCTGAAGAGTCCAGTTGCCTTGTACAGGTTCAACCACAACAGGAGAACCATTAAGCCTTGAGTCCTGACTGGCCCCAGACCTCCTGGAAGTTGATCTTCCAATGATGACGTCCAGCACTGCTGGTCAAACACATGATGAGTGGCTGCGTGATGGATGCCCATCTGGTTAGTTCAGTCGCGATGTTGTTCCCGTTCCAGACTTCATGTCTGTTTTAGATGCCAGGTTTCATTGCAGGTGTTGACTTTTTCAGATCCGATGGAACCAACGGCATTGCTATCCGCAGACCACGATTTCAGCCCCGAGACAACATCCCACTAGGTTCTTTTTCGCATCATGTCGTGGAACCGTGATCGAGACTGTTCCGCATCGTCCTGGACTAGCTCGTCGTGGGATAAGAACGGGTCGTCGCGTTCGAACAACCGTGACTGGCAACGAGGACAGCATACGTACTCCGGGTCATCGACACCTTCGCAATCGTCGGTACCGAGTGGAAATGTTTCAATTCCGTCTTCATTTTCTCCTGACTAGGAATGTTACGACACCAATCTTGTGTCGAACAAGAAATTCTTTCGGAACATTCATCCACACCTTGGTCTACGAAGAATGGTCTAGCAGGCAAAGACATCGGAAACCTCCGTGTTACAGAGTTGACACGGAAGGGACTCGACGACTTCAGTCTCCGAAGTCAACCCAATGGAGAGTTTCAAGGCATTGTCCTCGAACTGGAGATGTATTTCCGGAGGCTTCTCTAAAAGCGAAGATCCAAGGGTTTCCATCGGCGTTGGTTTTTTACTTAAGTGTCAGGTTGGAGTCAGCCCACTGAGCAACCCACTACATAACAGCAAAGCATCGTCAAACAATTGAGTAGCCCGCCATCGTGTTCCACCAGTGAAAGAGAGTGATCAGACATAGATGGCTGCCTTGTGGGTTTCTGGGCACTCGGGTATTGTATTTCACTACCCCCTCTTTTGCCGGGGTTCGCCTAAGCTGCTGCGGCTCGAGTTTTCAGTAGAGCTTTCAGGGAGGCATCGTCATGGAGGGCACAGCAGGAGAAACAGAAACATGAGAAGACTGCAATGCCTTTTTCGTCCTTAGCCTGAAACTCTTGGCACGTCCATAACCCCCGTGAAATACATTTCTCGCTCCTGTTGCTTCCCCACGAAACAATGTATGAATCGAGAGGGCCCCCCCAAAAAATGGGTTAGGACTGGGTTTTTTGTCGAGTCGATTTCAGAGGCAGTCTTCATTTCGAATCTGCTTCGACATATTCGGCAGGATCGCATCGATTTCGATGCCGTGGCAGCAAATTTGCATGGCCCGGCGCCTCCAGACAAGCACAAAGCGTCTGCGAGGTTCATGCAACCGCTCCTGGGGGAGATAGTGTCGACATCAAATCACACTCTCCACCCACGTCTGTTCCCAGCTCACAATCACCTGAAAGTGAGCAGTTGGCCAGAGCCAAACGCAAGCTTGAACAAGCAGGCTTGGCACTGAGCCCAGAGAAGAAGCCGAAGGCCTCTCAAAGTGATCAAGCCCCTCCGTTGCCCACCGCCTTAGCCAAGTCACCTGATGAGCAAATTTTGGAGAAGGAGCTCGCTACTCAGCCGAGTTCTGTGCCCACGTCCACATCTCAGGATGCTGTTGACAAGTGGCTCAAGAAACGTCAGAGCCTATTTCGTGGCAAAGTCACCATCTTCAAGAAGCATGTGGCAGACATCTGCTCAGTACTGAAGTCCTCCGAATTTAAACGGACGGACTTAGCTGAGATTGCTGTGAAGTATGGTCTGCAGCAGAAACACGCAGACAAGATGTCGTTTGCCAATCTTTCCACGTTTATTGGCGCTTGTCAATTTGAAGCAGCTTGACTAGCTTCCGAGGCCAAGCAAGCTCACACTCAGCCATCTGCAGTTCGTAAGAGACTTGCATCGGCTGTGTGCATTTTGGGCAGTGCTTCAGCATTTATGCTGGAACACGGAGATGGAATTCCCAAAATACCACTGATCTGGGTGCACACGTTGATGTGTTTGGTGCTGCTGTTCTCACCGCTTAATGGTGACGGCCATCGGCCTAGAATTCTCCACAAGCTTCAACAGTTCGGCGTGCATCCTGAATCGTTGCACTACTCATTGTTTGAGAAGCCGAACACAGTGTACTGTATTTTCCAAGCAGAGTTTGATTTCAGCCGCTTTCGAGCTGGCTACCAAGAGCCTTCGTCTCTATTGTATGTGGGAAGCACTGCTGTCGCTGCAGCCAAGCGACACTTGAATCGCATGGCAGTGTACAGGAGACTTAAGAAGACTGAGCTCGTGGATGCCGAATTATCTTTACGGTATTGAGCATCCCACGATAATCTCTTTCAGTTTGTGTTGGTGCCACCACAAGTCACTACAATCATACCAGACCTAGCAAGCGGCTTGGACCGCCGAGCATGAGCTTATTGCTCAGTGGCAAAGACCTTGGAATTATCCCAGAGCGATGTCCCTCATCAAGAAAACAGCTCTTGGCTTTCGAATTTCTTCCAAGCGCAGAGCTTCGCTGTACGGCACTTTTGGACTTCGCCTGTGGCGGAAGCTGCATAAAAGGATGCACCGTCGCGGCCCCAAATCTTTATCAAAGACTCCCGACAAGTGGCTTGGGAATTGCTGTTTAAACTGGGGTCCCGGACGAAAGCAGCGTTTGAGGCAGCGTAGCTTCTCCGATCTGGGAAGACTGCTGACGAGGAGGTGTATGCCCTCATCAAGCTCAGTCGCAACATTGAGAACCCACATCGCAACAGAGTGCAAGGGTTATCAAGGGTTGTTCAACGGGGTGGTCAAATTTCGCACCAGAATGCACTGGCCTAGAACGTCTCGGCCATTGGGAGTGCTTGCCGTGGCTCAGCCCCAGTTCATGTCGGAGTGTGAGAGATGGTTGAAAGATTTCATTCTCTGCTACAAATATTCGTTTCCGTCCTTTCATGTTCCCAAGAACAGCCTCAGAGAGGGGTTCCGCATCAGAGCATCAAGAAGTTTCTTCACAATGTACCATCTTGGGAGGAAGCTATGTAGGACCCAGAGTTCTCATTGGACTCAGTCCATTGCCCATGTGCACGTTACCGGAATAAGCTCCCAGACCATTGCTTTTCCTCGGGCCATGTAGCCGCCGGTCTGGAACATTTTGAGAAGGTGTTGCCCGGGTGCCAACACATTACTTCGGCCAGTGCTGCCAGCACATTTTTCCCAGGCCGTATAGCCACTGGATGACCAAGTCCAGAGCACTGTTTGATCAGTGGCTCAAGCGACACAGGCCTCCAACGACTCTGCATCCGTTGTTTCAACAGTTCTGTGAAGAGCACCCTTGCCAGTGAATTCGGCTGTCTCATTCCTGTGTGTCTCCTGCAAAGCCAGGATATCACAAGTATCCAATGCCTTGGTATGAAGCCAGGCTTTGATCTCAGCCCATTGTCACGCCTAAATGTCCGGCATTCCATGACAATAGTCGTAGAGGTTTGCTGTGCATTCCCCCGCGGGGTCGGCGCTCAGGCATAGGTGTGGGAGGCGAGAGAGATTGCGTAGGCTTTCCTGTCGAGTGAGCTGGAAGTAGAGGGGGCTCGAGGCCGCTTTGCGTCAGTGTGCCATGCCGGTACTGTTGACTTGTTTGTGTGCGAAATACTTCATTACATGCTCTGCGAAAGGCTATCTTGCGAATGCTTGTTTGCGATTTCTGGTGCACAGGCGATGCCGCCATCCGCTAGATTCGAAACCCAGACCTGGGTCCAGGAGAGTCCTTTCACCTCGCAGACAAGTGAAAACCCTGCCGCCTACCTCGTTGCTGTCATGTGTGATGTTAGCTGCGAGGCCCGGGAATTGGGATCCGGCTGACCACAGAGGCGCTAGGCTGGGGCACACGCAATATGGCTCCGGCGGTCGGACAACCTTTACGCTTCGCGAAAGGAGCTTGTTGCGAGCCTTTAGAGTTTGCACCCTTGGCCTGGTTAGCACAGCTACAGCACTTCCTTCTGTGGTCCGTGGCGGCTATAACAACAATAACAGCAACAACAACAACAACAACAGCAAGTAGCAACAGAGATAGCGTTAGCCATAGCAATAGCAATGGCGACCGCGACCGCGACCGCGACAGCGACAGCAGCAGAAGCAGCAACAGCCACAACCACAGCGACAGCGACAACCACAGCAACAACAGCAGCGACAACAACAACAGCAGCACCACCAGTTGCAACAACAACAGCACCAACAGTAACAGCAACAGCAAGCAGCAACAGCAACAGCAACAGCGCAATCTATCCAGAATGGGTGTTAAGTACACGTGGGTGCGTGCGTTTGTCTATGTGTGTGGGTGGCATTCAAACTAACGTGGGTCCTTTGTCCCTTTTGTAGGTTTTCGCACGGACCATGCAAGTTCACACAGTAGTAGAAGACCTCCCCAGGCATGCATCAAGACACCATCGACGATCCTTCGCAAATAATGAGCTCCCTCTCCCTGTCTTGCGCTGCCCCCCGCCCAGTTGCTTAAGCCGCGCATGTTCGCTACAGAATCACATCTGGCCAGCAACAACAGAACGCGTATGGATCCTGTCAAGAAACCTGATACTAGTACAAACATCAGTCAGTCGTCGTCAGTCACATCAACGGAAACAAAAAGGAACACCGCTTCGCTCTCCCTCTCTCGGTCGCTATGTCTCTGTCTTTCTTTCTCTCGTTTCAAGGCTGCTACACACACGAGCAATGCAATAGCAAAACGTGTAAGACACGCCCTACGTCTGTTTTTGTTTGGCAGAAATCGAAGAGATAAAACAAAGAGTTCGCCAGCAACCAACAATTATGGATTTCGGAGCAACTTTTAGGCATTGCAGCGTGTTCCGGAGAAGGACCAACGTGTTTGGCAGATCCTGTGTGGAGGACTCACCGGCTGTGTGTACGACCCGGGAATAAGTTTCGCATTCAGGACCGCATGTGCCTGGCACTCACGACGGTGAGGGAGACTCGTTAACAGAAGAAATGTGGCGGAGCTTCACAAATGCCCGAAGCACTGGCCGCGCTCATGATTTCGGCATGAATCTTCGGCAACAGCAGTGGAAACACTATTGCCAGTCGCACCAGCATCGTTCACGTGCCACCTTAGCCTGCCGCACTCTGCTTTGCTGTGCGGCACCAGCGTCTCAGGCTGTATTTCTTGCCCTGGGCTACTTACGGCCGTTGCACTGCCAGTTCGCCGGCATTGCCAAATTCTCCTCAGGCTGGTTCTGCGCTCCGATTTTCAGCAGAAGTTGGTGAAGTTGCGACTCTTATTTGTGTTGAGGCAGATGAGACTTCGACAGAGGAGGCAGATGAGAGGCAGCAAAGCTCCCGAGTGCTTGCTGCACCGGTTTGGGCGGTGCATGCACCTGCGTGCAGGGGCATGCGCTACCTCAAGTACGTTTTGTATCCGCTTTCGGCAGGTTGGGGTTTGCCTCTTGGCTTCGCTTCAGACCAAAACGATGGAGTAATTTTTTCTCCTTTAGTCACTGCGCGGACCTTCTTGGCCGCGCAGCTTGCCAAATGTGGAGTAATTAGTCAGAACGCCAACAAGTCAGCCACATCTTGTGGTGTTGTCTGCCTACGTTAAAGCATCACCTGAGGTACAGCTTATACCATTACTCATACAAAAGTTGGTGGAGCTGGGTGATTTCCAGCATGGTCCGCTACTTTTACTGCGCTTCGTGTCAGCCAGCACCGTCAAGTCTGAGAGCCGGCAACCACGCCAGGCGGATTTCGCCTACACATTTGGCTTTGTGAACATGATGCCGTGCGCAGCCCGGTTTTATGGCACCAACTGAGCAAGAGTCGCGAAGCTGCCCGCTGATTGATGACCGCAGCTTGCAAGACCCTTTCGATAAGCATGCATCAAGCACTGTCAAGCACACCGCAAACGCTGTCACAGGCAGATCTTCATCAACTACAAATTGAAATCAGTTGCTCCTTGGCTTCGGCTGGCGTAGGCACCGTTCGACTTCTTTTGCGGCTGACGAGGAAGTCACGTTGCTCCGTTCAGGCCCATATGCCCTGGCGTGTTTTGGTGTACAAGTTCTTCAACACCTTCATTGTTGCTCTTTCGCAGCCAGAGTGAGCAGAGGGGAGTTGCACGCATGACTGGTAGCTTAGGATGATATCTTCGCTTTCGTCATTGCTGCAGACCAGATGACGAACAAGCACAGGCGAGCCTGATTGGACAAGCTGGGTACGCTCCCACAGTGGAAAGACAACAACAACGACCAAACATTAAATTCATCGAGGAGACCGATTCCGGAGCGAAAGCCCGAAGCAAGCACGAACCACTCCAGAAACTGCAATGAATATCAGGTCCGCCCTCCTTGCCCCCGGTAGTTGCGATATGTTGCGATACACCCAGCCTTACAGTCTCATTCAAAGGCATCATGGCCGGGCTTGCCGGAAATGCTGTGAGATTACAGCCTTTCAGATGGCACACAGGTGTGCTGTATGTTGGCTGGTTCGTTGGCTAGAGCGAATTTCAGATGTTTGTCTTCTTTCCAACTCTGCGACTTGTTATGGGCGGAGTACCTTGGTGCTCGCACTCAGTCTCATGCTTAAGGGGTGTAAGCACGGCTTAAATCAACGGCAAGGTACATGACCTTGCGTGATGATGTGATCTTCTTCATTTTTCTTTACCAGCAGGGCGCCTGGCATATGATCATGCGTTTCGCTCTGGCTCTTTCTTGTAGTTTCAACAGACCTGTCACAGCAGCGCGAAGGAGGCATATCTACAAGGTGGACCCAAATCGCCCCGACGAGTTTGGCAATGTGTCAGCCTGTGATGCTACGAAGGAGAGGGAGAGGGTTGTGAGTCCATCTCGGCTTTCAAGGTCTATGACGACAATATGGATGTACACAAGAAAGCCAGCTGAGGCCCTTCAACACGTAGCAGATCGCACATGGTCGCAATGTTTGATACTGGCTGTCAGCAAGAGCATGCAAAATCGGTTGATGGAGAAGTTCCGATACTGTTGTCTTCCAGAAAATAATAATATTCATAAAAGCAAGATTGGGCCGCACCCACAGGCACAAATTTTCGCGATAGGACCTGCAGACTGAAGCATTCGGACCCTGGGAGGCACAGTCTTCACAAAAACAGATTTGGCCGCGTCCTGCGGGGCATTTGCATGGCGGTGGAACTGAGCAAGTCGTCCACCCTAATTCGCGTGTTTTCGATGCTCGTCCACATTGGCCTAGACTATTGGCTGACTTTCGCAATCCCGATGTAGATTAGACGGCCGAATGGCTGTCTCATGCTGTCTGCAATCAGAACCCGCCAAGCCAAAGCGAAGTCAATACAAATCCGAAGAGAAAACGACGAAAGAGACTTCTTTGAAAGGATCATTCTCCAGGTAAGGGAAAGTGTGTGTGTGTGTGTGTCGTCCACCGGGTCGTCACATGTGCTCTTCGGGGCTGTGCCAACCGAGCACAGCTTCGTTTTCACTTTTTGTGGTTTTTGGTTTAGCTCGGAGCCACCCGCGTACACCGCACACGCACGCGCACGCACGCACACGCGTGCACACAGGCACACACTTTGGCTTGGCACGTACTGATGCGAAGAAGACAAACAGGACCAGACGAGACAAAGACAGATTGCAGCAACTGTGCAGGCTTAGTTTCACGATTCGGCCCAGGACGGAAGCAACACATTTAAGGGTATTTTGGGTTGACCGCACTTGCAGGTACAGGTGGTTGGTCAGACCACCCTTCCCCCATTTTGGAACAGCTTCGTTGGCACAGGTATCCAAGACGGGCCTGTGCCCCTTGCTTGAAAACTCTCACTGGCAAACTACCACATCGAAAGGCTCAATCTGACACCTTGTTCAGGTGTGTACACACACACACACACTTAGGCATCCATCGCGCAGCCACTCATCATTTGGTTGACCAGCACTGCTGGACGTCATCATTGGAAGATCAACTTCCAGGAGGTCCGGTACCTGTCTGGCCTCTAGGCTCATCAGTTGCGTTCTTAGTTAATTTGTACATGACGACTCGGACTCTCACGAACTTGCATCAACAATTGTTGAGGTTTCTGGCTTAGCCTCATCGACATACTGCAGAGAAAAATTGCACAGCACTCTAAAGCAGGTACACAGATTGGCGTCCCAATCTGCTCCACGGAGTATCCACAGCCGTTTTCGTTGGCAGCAGAACTGTGGACTCCCTGCTGCCCCCCGCTTTTTTGACAAAGCGATCCCTGCCTCACACACACACACACACACACGAAGCCAATTGGGCAACATGGTTCTAACGTTGTTCAGTGCGTGAAACGCAAACAAACAGTACAAGTCCGTATCAATCTGGCCAGGTATGCACAAATTGAACAGGTTGTAAAGTGTGAAACGAAGTAACCAGACCAGAAAATGGGATTCGGATGCCACCTTGATGGAATTCGAAACATTGGACCTTGGGCCGTCTGCCAGTGCAGTCGAAAATACGATACTGCAGCAGGTACTTCGCAGTGTCGACGAGGTCATCCGTCGTGCAGACAACTTGGAGCTGCATTGACTGAAAGAACGTGGTTCTATCAGGCGGCACATGTACATCAAGTCGAAAAAGCCGTTGCGAATGGCATGGCAGGCCTGCTTGTGCGGCAGTGCGTTTCATGGTGGCTATATCGCAATGAAAAGAAATGGCCAAAACGGTGCATGTCACAATGCAACACCTAAACATTGCAGCCACTCTGTAGCATTGAGCCGGACTTGACTTTATCAACGTTCGGCAGGCTGAGAAATAGATCGCAGTGCTTTCTGAAAGCGGTATGAATTAGGAGTGCTCGTACGGGGCATCGCCTTGAACAGATCCAAAACAAGCTTGGCTCGTTCAGTCTGTCTTACTTCAGCAAATAAGGTGCATGACCAATCTTTACAGCAAAAGTGTTGGGCCTTCGGCCAAAAGTAGCTATAGCCGCGAATGGCAGACTGAAGTCTGCCTTGGTGTGTCCGTATATGATTGCCATCGACACAAACTACTCCATCAGGCTCCCTAGGCTTGGAATTCTGCACAGGCTTGGACCTTTGCTCAGTTCTACGAACTGGCGAAATTGATGAAGATGAACTAGAAGAGCGAGAAGAGGAAGAAGAAGAAGTCGACGAAGAAGACCATGAAGAAGGCTCTTTGCGTCTAGTTCGACGCTTCTTGGTGTGGCACTTTTTGGCTCGGTGCCTTTTTGAGGCCTTGGATCTGTGCTTGGTTCTCGCCTTGCAGAACCTGGGTGGATCAAAGGTGCCAGACGAAGACAATTCGCTGGAATTCGGGTCCATGGCACTGACCCCAAAAAGAGACACCACGAAAAACAACTCTGCCTTGATCAGCTCAGCTGTTTCGGCAAGCACAGGCTTAAGCACGCAAAAAAACGAACAGTGAAACTGAAATACACAGGCCATAGGCTGTGACAGAGGATTTTTGTGGCGACACACAGCAGCCCTTGCATTATGCAGTCGAATTAAATAGCCCTACAGTACCCTACACCTTCATGACTCGGTGTCTGGAAGGCCCGAGCTGAAGTTCATACCTTGTCAAATATGTTAAGCCTTGACAAGAACAGTACATCAATGATACAAATGTTGCTTCTCGCGCTACCATGTTGAGTACTTGAGATGGCTCAGATCCTGTTCTTTTTGCTTTGCAACAGGGCAGTTCAGCAGCTATCTAGTCCAGACGTGCAGTCCAGCAGCTTCGGAAAAGCAGTTCCCAGTCCAGTCGTTCCTATCCAGTCCTTTTAGTGGAAAGAGCGATGGTTCGCGATTCGAAGAAGCGTTGCCGCGACGAGGCCGGGGCTCTTCCTTCGTTCCCTCTTTCCAGCGCCTTTTCCTGCACCGAAAGCAGGAGTGGAGCCCGGTTTTCAGGCGTTTTGCTCAACCAACGGTTCGAAAACCGGGCATTGGGCTCTGTTGCCTATGTGTGTCCCAAAAGCAGGACCGGAGCCCGGTTTTCAGGCGTTTTGCTCAACCAACGGCTCGAAAACCGGGCATTGGGCTCTGTTGCCTATGTGTGTCCCGAAAGTAAGGCTGGAGCCCGGTTTTCAGGCGTTTTGCTTAACCAACGGCTTGAAAACCGGGCATTGGGCTCTGTTGCCTATGTGTGTCCCGAAAGCAAGGCCTGAGCCTGGCATTCAAGCGTTTGGCACATGATTGAACGACAAGCTTTGTGGGAGCGGTTGGTCAGGGGCCTGAAAGCCCTTTCTGCAGGTGCCGGTTTTGGAGATCGTCAGTTCTCCGCAGCACGTGACGTAGAGGCCAAATCGATCCACAGTGTCAATTGATGTTTCGCGTGGTGCCAAGCAACCGGCAGGTCGAAACTTTGTCCGACTTGTCTTGCGTGGCTGCCTTAGTCAGAAGTTGCATCCACCAGACTCAGCAGATGCAGATGCACTTGGTCAGGAAGAGATGCACGTGAATCCGCCAGAGGCCCGCAATACGGCAGATGACTTGAAACTGGTAAGCATGAAGCAAAATAGCTTCTGTTTTGTTTAGAATAAGATTTGTGTCCTGTCTACAGAACATTGATTCGGATCTCAGGATCTCTTTGGCATGTTCGCGTTTTGAGGTGTGCCAGGCTGTGCCACAGAGCATGCCAAAGCATGAAGCATGACGACCTGTTTTCGCCAGGCAATGGTGGACTTGCCGCATGGCGTGCCGATTTGTGCCGCCATGGTGAACAGGCCAGAGCGACTCCCTTTCTGCAGCGATCCGGCAGTGCCTGTCCCACCTGATGGCCGGTGCTTCTGGAGTTGTATGTGGCTGGTCTGTTCGGCCACAGCTGCGGAAGTCGCCGAATGGAGGGCGCAAAAGCGGACAACGCTGGGCTATGCTGTGAATGCAGAGCGCATGCGTCAGGAGGCGTCTCTTGTGCAGAGCTGGGTGCTCTCCTTGAGCGGGCTGCCACAACCGATTGCAAATCGGGTGCGGCAGGGGCATTTGGCCGAGTGGCTGGATGTTGTCTGGGCGTCAACAATTCTGCAGCACAACATCTTCGTATGCACAGGCGAAATCAAGGTGAACATGATCCCTTCCAACTCGGAGCCAGGGCCAGCATGCGAAACGTGGCCATCAATATGGCTCCTTTTTTTCTGCAGCAAGGATGCGGCAGGAAACGAAATGCCGCACTACGAGCTTTTGCCCTGGGCTGGCATCGAGGGTCGCATCGCCGAGCCGCCTCGTTGTTGTTTCCTTAGGCTTCAGAACCTGACTAACCCGCAGCTAAGAAGGATGGAAGCTCAGATTTCGCAGTTTTCGAACAGTGTCTGCTCAGAGCGACTCGCAAGACTCTAAACCCTAAACCCTAAATTCTTAGGCTTCAGAACCTGACCACTTTGCAGCTAAGAAGGATGGAAGCTCAGATCTCGCAGTTTTCAAACAGTGTGTGCTCAGAGCGACTCGTAAATTTCATTGTCAAAGTCGCCGAAGGTTGCTCCAGAAGCGAACCCACGAGAAAGGCGAGGGTCTTCCCGGGAGGCGGGCCCCCCCACAGGGCGCAACGGCCACCTGCTTTCCAGTCTTCTTAGGCTTCAGAACCTGACCACACCGCAGCTAGGAAGGATGGAAGCTCAGATTTCGCAGTTTTCGAACAGTGTCTGTTCAGAGCGACTCGCAAGTCGTTTGATTGTCGCCGCAGGTTGCCCCAGAAGCGAGAAGGCCGCGAAGCCGAGGCTCTTCCGAGAAGGCGGGCCCCCTCCGCAAAGACGCAACCGCCACTTGTTTTCCAGTCTTTTTAGGCTTCAGAACGTGGCCACCCCGCAGATGGGAAGGATGGAAGCTCAGATTCCGCAGTTTTCAAAAAGTGTCTGCTCTGTCGCCGCAGGTTGCTCGAGAAGCGAAAAGGCAGCGAAGGCGAGGCTCTTCCGAGGAGGCGAGGCCCCCCCCCTGAG